CTACTACTACTACTACTACTACTACTACTACTACTACTACTACTACTACTACGACTACTACTACTACTACTACTACTACTACTACTACTACTACTACTACGACGGCGACGACGACGACTACAAACACTACCACTACTATTACGACGAGTACTACTACGAAATGCGTCCGCTTCGTCGGGGCGGGAAATGATTATTCTCTGCGCTCCCTGGAGCTAAGAAAACGCTCCGTGCGTGGCTGGGGCGATACTCTGGGATGGGCAACCCCCCAGGACGGCCGACCGAAATCAAATTCCCTTTAAGGATTGCAATTGGAAGCGCATGGGGCGGGGGCAGCGAAGAGCAAGAGGAGGAAGGGGAGGCGGTGAGGAGAAAAGAGAGGAGAAAGGAGATGTCGGTCGCGGGGAGAAGAATACGTATTTACTTGTTGCGGCACGGTGTGGTGATCAAGATATCGCTCCGCTAAACCCGCCCCCGCGAATATTTTTGTTCGTTCTGGTGCTAGCGATAATACATGACGGTTTCTTAATTGCTTCTCCCGGTGACATAGAGAGGTCCGCGCGAACTTCGTGGGTCGGCGCTACCCCCCTGACCCCCTCTCCCCGCACCGGGTGCGCGTGCAGAGTGGAACCTGCAAGAGTGTGTGTGTGTGTACTGGGAGGGGAACCCAGCGCAGACCAACAAAATCCGCGCGGGGCCTCCGGAAGAAGATGCCAATGCAAGGTGTTCGTTGCCTCCCTTCCTTCGCACATGTAAATCACGGACTTCGTTCGGTCCCACGCCGCTGGCTGGCACTGCGCGGCCCAGAGCACGTTGCCTGGCACACCAGCGACGCCCCCGCACTGCTTGCGCGAGACGAACCTGGGGAAACCAAACGGTACCGATACCGCTACTCCCCAGACCTCTCCCGGGGCGCGTTCTGACCAGGATTTCGAAGCGAATCCAGCGGTGGCGACGAGGACCTCCCAGGAGGCCCCCCAAAAAAAGGAAAACGGGCGAAGGGTAGAGGTATGGGTACATCCTTCAATAAGAACCCCCCCCGTGCCAACCTGTCCGACGCCCATTGCCCGCACCCCCACGCGCCCCAAACCCACCCCCTCTCGCTCCCAAACCTCCCCACGCCCACCGAAGGACAGCGGCTTCCCACCCCCTCACGCGATCCACCCCCCCACGCTTATTGAGAGACCTGGAGTACCTTTCCCTCCTCTGAGAACCAGAAAGTTCTGTCCGAGCTGGCGCCCGAGCTGGCGTTCGACTCCGTCGACGCCCGCGCCGCGACCGACGACCTAGACTGCAGCAGCTCCACCCTCAGCGCGTCGGCCTCCCCCTGCTCCGCGGCCTCGACCGCGGCCTCGTCGAGGCAGGCCCCAGGCACGGTGCACTCATCTGGTTGACCCAAAAGTTAAATCGGACGTGTCCCCCTACAGGGGGATTTTCGATGAAAAAGAAAAACCCAAACATAGTCCAGACTGGTCAAAAAATATTCAAAAAATAGTCCCCAGACTATTGTTTGACTATTTTTGAATATCCCCCCTGTAGAGGGACAGGCCCGACTTAACCCAAGAGGGGTCCAGCTAAAAGGGGTGGTGCAATAGGTTTGGGGCACTGGTATTGCAAATATGTATTGCGCCAGACACTTGTGTTGCATTGCATTGCAACCAGAATGCATGGCACGCGTCAGCCAGCAATACCTTTACGCACCGCAATGTGTGGCACGCCCCAGATCTACTGCAACTCCACAGATCTGCTGCACCAAGTCTATTGCACCACCCCCTCTCAGCTGGACCCCCTTTTTGTGTCAACCAGACCTCCTCGGCGCCGTGGGCGCCCGCGTGGGCGGGCAGCTGCATTGCTGCGAGCGCGAGCAGCGCCAAGCGGTACAGCGCCATGCCGAACCGAAGTTCTGTGGCGAGCTCGGCGTCCGAGCGATAGGTTGCTCCTGTCTCCGCTGGGGAGGGCGGGCAAGGCTTGAACCAAAGGCAAGGGGGGGAATGGTGAACGTTTTCTGATTCGGCGGAGGGGCGGAGGGGGAGGAGGGGGAGGAGAGGGAGGAGGGGGAGGAGGGGGAGGAGAAGGAGGAGGAGGAGGAGGAGGAGGAGGAGGAAAAGTGTGCGGAGGGAGGAGTGGTTCTGGCTTGCTCCTGACCCTCTGGCTTTTAGCGAGAGATCGTCTGTTGCAGCAGTGGCCGAAATTCTGTGGGCAGGGCGGGCAAGCAAGGCCGAACCGACGGCCAACGGGGGCAAGGGTGAGGCAGGGGAGTGGGGGGGGGGGCAGAAGCGGGGGCAGAAGGGGGGGGGGGCCCGAGAGGCTGCAATTAGAACTGCAGTCGGCCCGTAGCATAAAGACGCACGAGAAGGAAGCAAGGGCTTTGGAAGGCCGACTCGAAGCTTTTCGAGCGGGGCGCGGACAACGAAAGTGGCCAAGGATGGACCGAGGAGGGAAGATTGCAAGGGTACCCTTGGGAAGGTTGCTCATCCTTACCATGCGAGTTGACTGTACACAGAAGTCGGACGTGCTGATCGTTCGGCCGCAATGAAAAATTAGCCTGGCGAAGGACCCAACCATATGCAGTTGAGAGTACCGCAATTGTGAATATCTTCTTCGGTGGCGCTCCCTATGGGGCCACGAGCCGTATGAGGGGTGTGCCGAAATGCGTGGCAGTGTACACGACACGAACGAAGACGATAGGTCCGAATATGAAAGCTTGAGCGCGTGCGAGTCGGATAGCGAGCGAGTCTGATTATGAATGAATCTGCGCGCGATTGATTCTATTCGCATGAATGCGTGCATGGATACGCCCAGTGTAAATGTATGTATACGACTGTGAACAGTTTGGGTCTGCGTGACTCTCGGTACTCGTGACTCTGAGCGTCGCCTCTGCAGGGGGCTTCCCTGGGAACCCCGACGGCAGCGCCCGCTCGCCGCGACGCCCATGTCGGCACGCCACACACCTGGTGTGCGGGACGCATGCGGACGGCAGCACTGGGGCCTTCGGTGGAGCTCCCTGTGGGGCCACGAAACGTGTGAGGGGTGTGCCGAAATGGGTGTGCTGGACGCATGCGGACGGCAGCCATGGGGCCTTCGGTGGAGCTCCCTGTGGGGCCACGAAACGTGTGAGGGGTGTGCCGAAATGGGTGTGCGGGACGCATGCGGACGGCAGCCTTGGGGCCTTCGGTGGAACTCC